GATGAGATCCCCATGGTGACATCAGTGGCTCTCTAAGAAGGACTGAGCTAGTGTGCTTGTGGTCTTTCCTTGTAGGAGGATTGAGCTAGTTGGTGTGCTTGCAGGCTTGCCATGTAGGACTGAGCTAGTGTGCTTGCTCACCAGATGTTAACAGGTATCACACCACATCTCTGGACTTCCCTGCATCCAGAATCAGAGCCAAGGACACTTCTGTTCTTTGTAAGTTACTTGGCCTCAAGCATGTTGTTATAGCAACAGGAAATAACCCAAGACAGGGCCAATAAGAAAATTGAGTAAACAAAGATTTTTACCTCTCATCTGATGGCCTGAGTTCAATCCACAGAGCCCACACATAGGGGTTGGAAGGAACCAACTGCCACAAGTTGTCCCTTGACCTTCACGTGTGTTAGGTGGATGTTAGAGTAATAGTTGTGTGGATAGAGGGACTGGAAACTGACAGTACTGAAAGAAGAATTTATGACCATTTTCACTACATTTTAATCATATGAAAATACCCATTTTGAGATTTGCTGAAACTATAAGCCTACTAACTGCTGTTATAGTTTTAGTATCTCCATATTTATGTTGTGTTGAAACAATAAAGATGTCTGATTAGAGTGAAAATTGAGAAAAATACATCAGAAGATTAAGAAACTAGATAAGGACCAGGCCACATAGGTTCAGATCTGCCATGGTGGAGAGTTTTGAGACTATCATAGGGTGGGAAATCCCTGGAAAATTTAGGGGAAGAGAATGACATACTGTTTTATATCTTGATAAGCCGCTTTTGCTGTGTAAAGAATGAACTGTGGCAGGAACAGAGGCCAGAGACAGGAGCCCACACAAATATGATGGAATATTCAAGTAGGCTCATGGCAGAATGAAAGGGGCCAATGTTAGATACATTTAGGAATTAGAGCTGTAAAGATGGATTTCTGGGTCAGAAAGTATGTAGCACTAGGTGTTTGCCTGAGTAGATGGTGAGTGCAATACTGCTTATTGCTATGGGTATAATGGAGAGAAGGTGTAGTACAATGGATACTGAACCCAGGGCCCCTACTACTGACCTGCTCCCCAGTTTAAGAGCTGTGTGAAGGCTCAGCTACTTACTAGGCATCCAAAAAAAAAAAAAAAAAAAAAAAAAAAAGATGTTCAAATGGTGGTGGAGTCCAGAGAGATTATGAATGGGAAAATAACAAGTCATTGATGTTACAGAGCTCTGGATGCCATGAGGCTGTAGATTGACTAGGGGATGAGTGTGGATAAGTGGAATAGAGGGATGGTCTTAGATCAACACTTTAATGTAAACAACCAGGAGAGGGGGAGAAAGTTCAGAAGATAGAGGTATCCCAAGGCCACTCCCACAGAGCTGACCTCTCAGATGAAGAGGTCAGCAACTACTTTGGCAGGGTGCAGGGTAGATACAGGGGGTTAAAAATTGATTGGTTAATGCAGTAAAAAAGGAAAGCTTTGCCGGGCAGTGGTGGCACATGCCTTTAATCTCAGCACTTGGGAGGCAAAGGCAGATAGATCTCTGTGAGTTCGAGTCCAGCCTGGTCTACAGAGCGAGTTCCAGGACAGGCTCCACAGCTACCTTTCTTGTATAGCAGAGAAGCACCCCCCAAATTAATGGTTAAATAAAATGTAAGCTTTATAATTTTTTTGTTTATGAGACAGAGTCTGGCAAGCCTCCAGCTCTGTGGAGCTGTGGATGACCTTGCGTTTCTGAGCCTCCCGCCTTTGCCTCCCAAGTGCTAACATTACAAGTTTCTCCCATAGACACCTCCCTGCTCTCCTTCAAATGGTCTTTTCTTATTGCATGCCTGCACATGCATGCGCGTGTGTGTGCATACACACACACACACACACACACACACACACACACACACACACCCCTAAATATAATCTGTCCACTCTGTATGTTATTTTTATGCATGTTTTCAAGGCTGACCATTTAGTATTGGATAACCAGTTGGTGTGCTCTTCTCTGTGGAAGACTATTTCTCCCACTCTTAGTGTTCCTTAGTTGACTGTAGTTATTTGTGTAGGGTTAAGATCTCATGGGCTTTTCCATATCCACTTTGGCATGTCCATTGGTGTTGTCCTTGTTTGGACAGTCATGTGGGTTAGGCTTTATGGGTGTAGCTTCTGATGTTACTAGGAGACAATCTCACCGAAAACTCCCTGGTCCTCTGACTCCTACCTACTTTTTATCCCTTCCATCATCTGCTTCTTTCCAAGTGTTTGCTTTGTTCTCTGGGATGTACTGACTGCGACCTTCTCAGGTTCTGCTCCCTACCCCTAACTTCAGCCTTTACTTAGCTGCCATGTGATCTTCAACTCAAATTTCAGATGACCTTTAAACTTCCTTGCCTGCCATCACTCCACAGCTGACTACTGTGTTTTAGTTTAAATACCTCAATACTAACTTTGTCTAATCCATCACTCCCTTTCCTCCTCAGATCAGTCTCAGTTGGTTGTTCCTGGGTCCACTATTCAGCCACTGCTGGCAGGGGAGGAAATTCCCTGGGTAAAGCAGATGCAGTATAGAAGGCAGAAGCCTTTTCTTTTAGCTCTTCATATTAAAATTACATGTTTACTTGTGTGTGTGTGTGTGTGTGTGTGTGTGTGTGTGTGTGTGTGTGTTGCGTATGCATACTTACACACACTTCACTGTATGACATGAAAGTGGAAGGGGGATTATTTAGGGAGAAGAAAAGGGACCGACAAATAGGGTGGTGGATAGAGGTTGTCTTGTTTGGGGTTTCTGTTGCTATGATGAAACACCATGACCAAAAAGCAAGTTGGGGAGGAAAGGGTATATTTGGCTTATACTCCACATTGCTGTTCATCATTGAAGGAAGTCAGGGCAGGAACCTTAACAGGACAGGAACCTGGAGTTAGGAGCTAATAAGAGGCCATGGAGGGGTGCTGCTTACTGGCTTGCTCCCATGGCTTCCTCCATCTGCTTTCTTATGGAACCCAGGGCTGCCAACCTAGGGATGGAACCACATGCATTGGGGCTGGGCCTTCCCCATCAATCACTAATTAAGAAAATGTCTTATAGTTGGATCTTATGGAGGCATTTTCTCATTGAGGTTCTGCCCTTTCAGATAACTCTAGTTTGTGTGTCAGGTTTTAAGACTAGCCAGTACAGAGGTAGAATGAAGTAAATATGATTAAAATAATGATCTTTGTATGAAATGTCATAACGAAACCCATTATTTAGTAATGTAAACTAATTTTTAAAAATTACACTGTCAGTTGAAGACGTAAAAGGTTACACCTTTAGAGGAATGGCCTGAAGCTGTGGCTGGTGGATGAGTACAGGAAGAATAGAAGAAGCTAAAGGCCACTGGGTAGGCTTGGCTGGAGTACCTAGCTCTTTGCAGACCATGGAATGGAGTTTTAAAAATATATACTCCTATATGTCATATATGTGTTTATATATTTCATATATGTGATACATGGGGAAACTTGAAGGTTTTGACAATCACTGTGTCTTTAGGAAGAAAATGATAGGACTTAGATTGATAATTGTAGTCAGGTTTTAGCTTGATATATAAATAATAATGGTTATACTTATGTGCTGTTTGAGGAATTTCCATAGTTAAAAGAGGAAGGGCAATAATTAGATAGATGAGAGCTGAGGTAGAGTCTACGAGTTGAGAACTGGAGACATCTGTGGCCTGGGCTCAACAATCCCTGTGTTAATTAGTTACTAATTCTGCCTGACATTTTCTTTTAAATTCATAGCAACACATTCCTGAGCAGTTCCAAGTTCTCAGTTACAATGTGACAAGCTAGAAGTAGAGAATAGAATATAAGTGAAAGACTCTTAAAACCACAAAGGAAATTATCAATATAGCATGTTTTATCTTTATCAGAATTGTAAAATTTCCTTGTAGTCTTGAAGTGTATTGATGTTCTGATTTGGGCAATGTTGTCAGTTGACCATGTCCTAGCACAGTGCCCAGAACAAGCACATTTGCCTACACGGGGCAAATATAATGTAACTTACAGGTGTTGACCACAAAGGACATAGGTACTGATTAAAGGACGTTGTTGGTTGACATGTTTATGGCCATAATTATTAAATTTTAAGCTTAATGCACAGCATAAGAAAATACATGGATGTTGAAGTGTTTTCTTAATGAAATCCTTAAACGGTTAATAATTTACAAATGACTGAAGTAAGTGGCAAAGCCTATGAAGAAACTTAGAAAATTGTAATGAAAATTAAGAGCATCCTATACAGAACCCTGTTTAGCTAACACACAGCACAAAGAGTCTGGCATTGTTCTAAGTTCTGTATCTCACTGGTTAAAATGAGAATGGGAACAATGTAAAGTTGTGAATAACGTGGACAATGTGGAGCATACAGAGCAGAGGTACAGTGAGCAGTCAGCATAAACAGAAATGGGGGTCTTCACATATGCTCTATTTCTAGCATTTGCTGTATTCAGTGCTTGCTCTTTTCAGTGTCATTCACCAAATCTGAGAAAGACCTCAGCTACATCTTTAGGTAGCAACTTTGGAGTTTCATTGGTCTCATTAAATGCTGCACGTGAAAATAATGATGTAACTAGTTTTATTTAATGAAATAGGCTAAGAAATGTGTCAAATATTCGTTTCAAAATTACTGAAATGTTCTAATAACTTGATCATGATTTTATGATTATTAGTGCCAATAAAGCAGTGCTGAGCCTCCAGGGAGAGTAGGTGTCCTGTAATGCTGGGAAGGCCCAAGCACAATACGGATTGCTGATGGAAACTGCCCGCCTATAGCAGGCCAAGCTCACCTGTCAGAGATGCCTGTGTAGTTCTGTCTACCAAATTCGTCTGAAACTGTGAGGCTTGGGGCTTCCTTCCAGCTCACATGCTGAAACAAATTGTTGTGGAATATAAGATAATGTAACACTTAATTGCTTTGTAATATTTGTGTGTTGCACTTTGAATTTTTAACCACATGCTAAGGCATTTTCCCCTTACTTTTCTAGGGAGTTGGTCTTTCAGTTCATGGACGATTCCGAGTGGCTACTGAAAGGTCCCTCTTTGCAATGCCAGAAACAGGAATAGGTAAAAACGCCGAAAGCTTTTTGTAATTACTTTTGAATCACATTCCTTTACTACATTTCAGATATTTTATACATATGGAGCCAAAAGATTCCATGTGAGATACAATGAAAGAACTCAAAAAAAAAAAAAAAACAACTTTATATTAGCTCAGTAATTAATCACATATAAGAATATTTATCTGAAGATATTAGTACCAGTAGTTAATCTTGGTAAGGAAAAATATGCCCACATTTCCATCTGCGAAACTTTATGAGTTTCATAGGTCAGCATTCCTGGTTTGTGTTAAAGAGAGCTACTCCCGCAGGGTTTTTCTTGAAAAGACTCTTGTTTCTTCACCATTGTCTCTGGCCCATGTCGGTGTTGCCCATGCTGCTCTCCTGTTAGTATAATACCATCTTGTTTGCTGTTGCCTCATGGTGCTCTTGAAACCAGGTATTGATAGCCAAACCACTTTACCCCCACCTCCAAGTGGTTTGGGTTATAAAGATCATTTGTATTTCTGTAAAAAAAAAAAAATTAGTTTGTAAGTTCCAACAAAAAATGCCTTCTGTTGTATTTGGCAAGTTTGCAGTCTGATCAATTTAGGCAAAGTTAACTTGTTTCATGGTTGTGTTGTATGTGTTTGTGTGTGGGCACGTGTACTAAGTGCCTGTGCATGGTAGGTGTCTTTCTCTGTTGTTCTCCTCCTTAGTTTTTGAGTCATGGTCATTCATTGACTCTGAAGCTGGCCCATGTAACTACATTGTTGGTCCAGCAAGCTTCATGGCTCCTCTTGTGTCTGCCTTGCTGGCTCTGGGATTGCAGGCATGTGCCACCACAACCAACCCTATACAGTGTCTAAACTCTAGTACTCATGCTTCCATGGCAAACACTTTACTTTGTAAATCATCTCCTCAGCCCTAAAGGCAATAAAATGGTGTCTTTGGAACAAGTCAGTGTTACAGTTTTAATTATCCAAAGTTGATAGTTTTCAGTGTCTTACACATATTTTACCAGAATTGTGTCCATTTCCTATTGCTTGCTATGGTAGATAGTGTTTTTCATTTTTTAATTGAAAATATTTTCAGACAATATATTTTGATCATGTTTTTCCTCTCCCAAACCCTCCCTGCATCCTTATCACCTCACTTTATGTTCTCTCTCTCTCTCTCTCTCTCTCTCTCTCTCTCTCTCTCTCTCTCTCTCTCTGTCTCTCTCTTCCATTCAAAAAAAACAAGAGACAAAACTGAAAACGAAACAAAAAACATCCCTCCATACAAAAACCCCAAACCCAAAAGCAAAACAAACAACTAAAGACCAATAAGAAAAAAAAAAAAAAGCTAAACCAAAGGAAAATGAAGCAAAAGTTCACAAAAATGCCAGAGTTCATTCTGTGATGGGCAGCCACTCCTGCACATCGGTCTGCCCTGGAGTGAGGATGATGTTCCTAGTGACACTCCTGTGGAGAAAGCTGCTGTTCGCTTTCCTAGCAGGTCTCAGTTGTGGATGGCTTTTGGTTGTGTTCACTTGCCCCTCTCAGTGCTGAGACCCTATGCAGCTTAATCCTATGCCAGTCTTGTGCATGTTGCTGTAGTCTCCCTGAGTTCATGTATGTCCTGATCCTACGCCAGTCTTTTGCATCTTGCTATAGTCTCTCCGTGTTGATGTGTGCCTGTGTCATCAGTCCTGCTGTGGCTGGAAGCCTGTCTTTCCTTGGAGTCATCCACACCTCTGCTCCTTAACAGTCTTTGTACCTTACAGATCTTTCTTCCTTACAGATCCCTGAGCATTGAGGGAGAAGGGTTTGATAAAGACATCCCATTTAGGACTGAATGCTCCAAAGTCTCTCTCACTCTGTACTTTTGTCTTCTTCCTTGGGAGTCCTTTCCTCCTCCCTAGTCCTTTAGTAGGTACCTAACCTCTGTGATTATTCAGATTGTAATCCAGATATCAAAAGCTTAAAAGCTAGCATCCACATATAAGAGAAAATAGTATTTGTCTTTTTGGCTCAGAATGATTTTTTTTCTAGCTCTAGTGTGTAAATGTACCACATTTTCATGATCTGTTCATCAGTTGATGGGCATTTAGGTATTCCAGTTTCTGACTATTATGAACTTGGCAGCAATGAACATGGTTGAGCAAATGTCCTTGTGGTAGGATGGAGAGTCCTTTAGGTATATGCTGAAGAGTGATATCCTTAGAACCTGAGGTAGATCGATTCCCACCTTCCTGAGGAATCACCACACTGATTTTCACAGTGACTGTACAAGGTTGCACTCCCACCATCAATGAGTGTTTCCCTTACCCAACACCCTCGCCAGCATGAACTGTCATTTGTTTTATTGATCTTGGCCATTCTGACTGGTAAAAGATAGAATCTCAAAGTAGTTTTAATTTGCATTTTCCTAATGGCTAAGGATGTTGAACATTTCTCTTAAATGTGTCTCAGCCTTTTGTGTTTCACCTTTTGAGAACTCTATACTTATTAGTTTTGCACCTTATTTTTTTAGCTGGGTTGTTTGTTTTATCGATGTTTAGTTTTTTGTTTGTTTGTTTTTTGCTTTTGGTGTTTTGTTTTTAGTTCTTTATATATTCTAGATACTAACCCTCTATCAAATATATAGTTGATGAAGTTTTTTCCCATTCTATAGGCTGATACTTTGCCTGAGTAATGGTATCCTTTGCCACACAGAAGCTTTTCAATTTCCTGAGGTTCCCATTTATTGTTGATCTTAGTGCCTCTGCTCTCGGTGTCCTGTTCAGAAATTCCTTTGCCAATGCTATTCTCCACTTTTTCTTGTATCAGATTCTGGGTATATGGTATCAGGTTGATGTCCTGGATCTATTTGAATTTGAGTTTTGTGCAGAGTGATAGGGATCAATTCACATTTTTTTTTTTTTACATGCAGCCATCCACGCTTGACCAGAATTGTTTGTTGAAGATGCTGCCTTTTCTGTGATACAACTTGAAATCTGGGGTGGCAATACCTTCACAGTTCTTTTATTATTCAGGATTGTTTTAGCTAATCCTGTGTGTGTGTGTGTGTGTGTGTGTGTGTGTGTGTTTGTATGAAGTTACAATTTTTTATTAATTTTTATAAAGAATTGATGGAATTTTCATGGGGATTGCATTGAATCTGTAGATTGTTTTTGGCAGGATGGCCATATTTACTATATTAAGCCTACTGATCCATGAGTATTAGGAGATCTTTCTATCTTTTGATGTCTTCTTTCTTCAGTGTCTTAAAGTTTTTATTATATAAGTTTTTCACTTCTTTGGTTAGAGTTATCTCAAGATATTTTTGTTTTGAGGCTATTGTGAAAGGTCCTGTTTCCTTTATTTTTTTCTTTTTCAGTATGTTTGACATTTGTATCTAGGAAGTCTACTCATTTGTGTGTGTTAATTTTGTATCCTGCTACTTTGCTAAAGTGTTTAATCAGCTATGAAAGTTATCCTGGTGGAATTTTTAGCATCATTATGTAGCCAATCTTAATACCTGCAAATAAAGATACTTTAACTTCTTTTTCAACTTGTATCCCTTTGATCCTTGAGTTGTTTTGTTACTCTAGTCAAGAATTCCAGTTCTATATTGAGTAGGTATGGAGAGAGTGGACAACCTTGTCTTTTTCCTTATTTTAATGGTATGTTCCCTAGGTAAGTTGATGTTGGCTGTGGGCTTGCAGTAAATTGCCTTTATTGGTAGGTATGGTCCATGTGTTGCGAGTCTCTCAATCCTGCATCTCTGGGATAAAGACAAGTTGATCATGATAGATATTTGCTTGGATTTGGTTTGGGAGTATTTTACTGAGAATTTTTGTATTTATATTCATAAGGGTATTGGTCCATTTTAGTTAGATCTTTGTGTCATTTAGGTATTGGGGTATTAGTGACTTAATAAAAAGAACTAGAAAATGAACCTTCAGTTTCTATTTTGTGGAATAATTTGAAGAATATTTGTATTGATTCTTCTTTGAGGGATGAGTATAATTCTGTGCTGAATCCATCTGGCTCCCTGGGTTTTGCTGTTGTTGGGCAATTTAATTAATTGCTTTTATTTCACTAGGGTTATGGGGTCATTACAGATTACTTATTTTATGTTGACTTAGTTTTGGTAGGTCATTTATATCAAGAAATTCATCTATTTCTTTTATATTCTCCAGTTGGGTGGAATACAAATTTTTAAAATTATTCTTGTGGTTCTATGAATTTCCTTGGTGTCTGTTATTATGTCTTCCTTTTCATCTCTAATTTTATTCTATTGGATCTTCTTTTAGTTGATTTGGGTATGGGTTTGTCAGTCTTGTTGGTTATTCTCAAAGAACCAACTCTGTTTCATTGATTCTTTGTATTGATTTTGTTGTTATTGTTGTTTTTATTTCATCCCTGAGTTTATTTCCTCCCATCTACTTTTGGGATATTATTTCTTCTTGTTTCTCTCGAGCTTTTAGGTGTGTTGTTAAGTTACTAATATGAGAATCCTCCACTCTTTTGTCAATGTGAGGAACATGCTGAAGAATGGACTTTGGGTTTTGTCAGATATTTGTTTCTGTGTCTATTGAGATGATCATTAGCTCTTTCTTTTTCTTTTAGTTTGTTAGTAGTAAATTATTTTGTTTGTTTTTTTATGTACAAATTTCCCTATGATACATCTTCCTCTGATATTTGTAAACCTTTTAATATGTTATTTGTTTTGATTTGCTGAAACTTTATTTGTAACTTTTGTAGCTCTGATTATGAGGCATTTGCAGTGTGATTTGCAATGACTTTTCTTTGTGTGAGTATGGTAATTTTTTTTTTCTTTCTGGAAGAGCTTGTGTAGAATTGGTATCATCTCATGTAGAATACACCAGTAAAGCCACCTAGGCTGGTAGTTTTCTCTTTTTTGAGAAAGTTTGTAATCATAGATTCAAAGCCTCTGGTACATGTTTGGCTAGTCAGCCTATCTTCTTGTACAAGCATTGGTAGGTTGAATCTTTTTTTTTTTTAAAGATTTTATTTATTTATTTATGTACACAACATTCTGCTTCCATGTATATCTTCACACCAGAAGAAGGCACCAACTCTCATAATGGATGGTTGTGAGCCACCATGTGGTTGCTGGGAATTGAACTCAGGACCTTTGGAAGAGCAGTCAATGCTCTTAACCTCTGAGCCATCTCTCCAGAACCCGGTAGGTTGAATCTTTAAAGGAATTTTTGCAATCTATTAGTATAATGCTGCTCATGATATTATAATATGTATAGACTCTGTAGTGTTTTCTGTCCCTCTCATTCTTGATTAATTTTGTCTATTCTGTTTTTCCCCATATCATTCTAATTTGAAGTTTATCAGTTATATTGGTCATAAATCAGAATTTGGCTTTTACTTAATTGGTTTTGGCTAAGATGTTTATTATTTTCAACTACTTTAGTTTTCATTCACTGCTTTATTTTTCTAGTCTTGTCAGATAAAAGCAGGTTAATTGGCTTTTTTAAAAACCACTTTTATGTACACATTTAGTAGAAAGTGTACCTCAAATATTTCACTCTGATCTCTTGCCAGGCTAGTCCTGTATGGTGAGATACTCTCCTCTATTCCTGGGCAGCTGCTCCTGGTTGGCCCCATGATCATAAGAATGCACAGTTGATGCTCTAGTTCCAGAGTGTTGTGCTGCTCAGTGGGTTGTGTGTGACGTGCACTTCAACTCACATGGTGGCACTGACTTCAATGTTTTCCAGCAGATTTGGTCTACAGCTCCACTGTGAGCCAAGGGGCACCTACACTTTAAATGTGCTGTTACACCATCTTCTAGGTTACATGTTTCCTATGAAAAAAATCATTTCATCCTATTTTTGTTTCAATAATCTTAATAAATATGTGTACTTCTCTTGGCATTAAGACTTTCTCTTGACCAATTGTCGTAGGCTATTTGGTCACAATATTTATTGGTACAGTTCTCTTCGTCTTTCATGTGTATGTGTGTATCTGGCTACTTAGATTCTTTCAAATTTGAATTTTTTTTTTTACAATTGTTTCTTCAAATATTTTTCTTCCTCATTCCTATTTCAGATAAAACTTTTTTTTTTTTTTTTTTTGGTTTTTCAAGCCAGGGTTTCCCTGTGGCTTTGGAGCCTGTCCTGGAACGGGCTCTTGTAGACCAGGCTGGTCTTGAACTCACAGAGATCCCCCTGCCTCTGCCTCCCGAGTGCTGGGATTAAAGGCGTACACCACCAACAGATACAACTTTTGTACTTAATGTTAGATGTTTTGTTTGTGTGTATGTGTGTGTGTGTGTGTATGTGTGTGTGTATGAGTGCCTGAGTGTGCGTGAGTGTGTGTGTCCTGTGTGTGTGTGTGTGTGTGTGTGTGTGTGTGTGTGTGTGCACATGTGGCTGTGTGTATGTTTGTGGTATGTGTATTTGTGTGTGTGTGTGTGTGTACATGTGGCTGTGTGTATGTTTGTGGTATGTGTGTTTATGTTTGTAGCATGTGTATTTGAGTGTGTGTGTGTGTGTGTGTGTGTGTGTGTGTGTGTTGGGGATTGAAACTTAAGGCCTCACATTGCTAGGCAAGTGCTCTACCACTGAGGAAATAGGTCCAGCCCTTTATTTCATAAACTGAGACATGTTGTAAGTTACTCAGGGAAGACAGTAGCTCATTCTGTAGCCCACACAGCCCTTAAACCTGTGATCCTTCTACACCTGCCTGTTTCTGCTTGTGCATCTGTAGCCATAATTACACACCTATATGCTAAACCCTGTTCTTTGTTCATTTTCAGTTATTGTCTCTTCTATATTTTCATTTAGTTTCTATTTCTGTATTTAAATTTCTTCTTCTGCAGTCTAATCTGCCCTTAGCATTTGTAAATATTTTTCAGTCTGTGCATTCATCTCAGTTTTCATCTATGGAAATATGATTTGAGTTGTAAAATATAACTTCTCTGTGTCTAATTTTTTTGAACATATGAACAATTTTTTTTAATGATCAGATCAGGGTAACTGATAGATCCATTACCTTTACTTTCTCCATTTTTTTATTTAAATTAGAAACAAAATTGTTTTACATGTCAATCCCAGTTCCCTCTCCCCCTTCTCCTCCCCTGCCCCCCACTAACACCCTACCTGTCCCATACCTTTTCTGCTCCCCAGGGAGAGTGAGGCCTTTCATGGGGCATCTTCAGAGTCTGTCATATCCTTTGGAATAGGGCCTAGGCCCTCCCCTGTGTTTCTAGGCTGAGGGAGTATCCCTCTGTGTGAAATGGGCTTCCAAAGTCCATTCCTATGCTAGGGATAAGTACTGATCTACTACAAGAGGCCCCATAGATTTCCGAGGCCTCCTCATTGACACCCACATTCATGGGTCTGGATCAGTTCCATGCTGGTTTCCCAGTGATCAGTCTGGGGGCCAAGAGCTCCCCCTCATTCAGGTCAGCTGTTTCTGTGGGTTTCTCTGGCCTGGTCTTGACCCCTTTGCTCATCACTCCTCTTTCTCTGCAACTGGATTCCAGTTCAGTTCAGTGTTTAGCTGTGGGTGTCTGCTTCTACTTCCATCAGCTGCTGGGTGAAGGCTCTAGGATAGCATATAAGTTAGTCATCAATCTCATTATCAGGGGAGGGCATTTAAGGTAGCCTCTCCACTGTCACTTAGATGGTTAGTTGGTGTCATCCTTGTTTATCTCTGGACATTTCCCTACCGCCTGATTTCTCTTTAAACCTATACTGGCTTCCTCTCTGATGGTATCTCTTATTTTGCTCTCCTCTATTCTTCCCCCTACATGAACTTCCTGCTCCTTATGTCCTCAAATTCTTACATTTATGTTAGTTCCAATTGATTGAGTCTCACTGTGCATTATATTTATGTATCCTGCCATATTAGATGTCTACTAGTTTATTTTTTCTCTTTGAGATAGGGTCTATGTAAGCTAGACTGGCCTTGAACTCAGAGATCCACCTACTTCTGCCTCCCAAGTGCTAGGACTGAAGGCATGTACTACTAGATGACTAGTGTGTTGGATAGTTTATGTCAACATGATACAAGCTAAAGTCATCCAAGAAGAGGGAACCTCAATTAAGAAAATGCTTCCATAAAATAAGACCTTAGGCAAGCCTGTAGGAGGACGTTTTCCTAATTAGTGATTGATGGGAGAGGGCTGAGCCCATTATGGGTGGTGCCATCCCTGGGCTGGTCGTTCTGAATTATATAAGAAAGCAGGCTGAGTAAGCCTAAGTAAGAAGGTGCCTTGGCAAAGATACATCTTTACCGTTTACAAAAGGATTATTCCACAACACCCAAAGCTCCATCTCTAAATAATAGTTACATTGTGGGCTGAGGCTTCAACATATATATTTTGGGATACAATTATGTTAATAGCCAAAGTAATCGCATACAGATGTTACTTAAAGCCACAGGAGTCAAGGGAACAGAGCACAGGTGGGCATCCTGACAGCAAGTGTAGTTTCTGCAGCACTCAGAGATCAAGCTACACAGAGACCTGATGGAAAGAAGCACTCATTGTGTGTCAGAGGCTGGACCATGCCATGTGGGATAAGGGCATGTTTCAGGACAAGAGGGTCTCCTGTGTTCAGAATGCCACCATCGAGGCTCTGATCAGGAGGTGAGATGAGAAGACACTGGAGTGGCTAGGGCAGAGCATGATTTCAAGAGATTCACCTAAAAATGTGGGTGGACATTTTTGAATGGGTTAGGGTGGTGTTCTAATCTAATAGAAAACAGCCACTGAAAATTTTTTTAAGAAATGTGAATCAAGAGTCTGATCAGAATTTATGTTTAAAAAAATCACAATTTCTGGACATGGTAATCCATACCTGTAATCCCAGTGCTGGGGAGGCTGCAGGCTGAGGAAAGAGACCACGAGTTCAATGCCACTTGGGCTACTCTTCAAGGCTCTCTCTCTCAAGTTAACAATAGGAAAAAATGTACTGTGCTTTCTGCTTGGAAAGAAGCTATTTTGATAGTTGTACTGGCTGTCATTCTTTTTTTTTTTTTTCCCCCACACCTGGCTGTCATTCTTTAGGTACTGTCACCTTTTGTCTTTGAGACAGGTTCTCCTTACTGACCTGACCTTGCTCAAGCTAGTCATGTGACCCTGGTACCTCTCTGTCTTCCTTGTCCAGCTTTGGGATTGCATTTTAAACACGAGTTCTAGGTGTCAAACTCCAGTCCTCACTGAGCCATCTATCACCCAATACTGCATACTCCTAATATACAAGATATTGTACAGTCAAATATTGTACTTACTCCTGTAGCAATGAGATACAAAGAATTTGAAAAATGTCCAAAATAAGTTAATGGTTTATAACATTTCTTGTGATTTGAGTTGACTGTATAGCACACAATAATTGTAGTACAGATTGGCAGTCTATAGAAATGGCTGTATGATATAAGAGCCTAACTCCACCTTCTGTTTGAATTACTCTTTTTGTTGTGCTTAATTAATTACAGGGCTATTTCCTGATGTGGGCGGAGGTTATTTCTTGCCAAGACTTCAAGGAAAGCTGGGTTACTTCCTTGCACTGACAGGGTTCAGATTGAAAGGAAGAGATGTGCACAGAGCAGGGATCGCCACACACTTTGTAGATTCGGAGAAGGTAACTATTTGGGTGTTTGCTGGAGTGGTTGAGATAACACGTCTTTGGTGAGTATGAGAATTTATTACATAGAGCTGTGTGACCTTGGAGGAAATACTAAAGCGCCCCCCCTCCTCCTTCACCTTCCCTTCCCTCCTCCATTCTGTCCCACATCACAAGGGCTCAGGCTCCTTTGTTTGCTGTCTTATCCATCCTTGAGGGGCAGCATTTGCTGTGTATATGCATGTAGCTGCAGTCTGTCTCTTTCAGGGGTTATGTGAAGGGAGCATAGATTTTAAGATAAGGATCCTAAGAGGTTAAAAGCTTTCTGCCTCTGTAAAGTTTCATGTCTTGTTTCCTTTTAGTTGCACAAGTTAGAGGAAGAGTTGTTGGCCTTGAAGTCCCCAGCAGCAGAAGATATTGCAGGTGTCTTAGAAAGCTACCATGCAGAGGTAAGTAGGTTTTCCATCACAGGAAGGTAAAGTACTCACACAGTGAGTGCTGGTTGAAGGCTGTAGACAATGCTACTCATACAGTGAGTGGATGGTGAGTGTTGGGTCACGGTTGTAGAAAGTGCACTGAGGATCATTTACTTTAAGGCTTGGTGGGAGGACCAGAGCCTCAGTGTTGGGCTAGCCATCTGATACCTGCTCTCCTCCTGTGCAACTTCACAGCTTATCTATTAACTTACATGCTCAGCCTTGGAGGGAGCTTTTACAAAAGCTTTTCAATGCTCTGTGGCATTTCTATGACAGAGGTTCAATGTTCAGACTATTTGTGGAGCTGCTAAAGTGAAATGCTAATAATAAAATATGCTGCAATGTTCAATTTCTTACTTGTGTCACCTGGGTTTTCTTATAAAGGCCAAGAATAGAAAGTGGGGAGATAGTTACCCAGTCAGTAAAGTGCGTGCTGCACAAGCACATCAGGACTTGAATTTGATCCTTAGCACCCACTAATGGGAGCTTTTTATAAAGCTAGATGTGGCACATTTGTAAACCCAACTCTGGGAAGGTGGAGACAGGCATGTCCCCTGAGGTTTGTTGACCAGCCAGCCTGGCCTAGGTTAAATGGTGAGCTCTAAGTGCTAATGAGATCGCATTTAAAGAGGAATGACATTGCCAGGTGGTGGTGGCACAGGCCTTTAATCCCAGCACTGGGGAGGCTGACACAGGCGGATCTCTGAGGCCAGCCTGGTCTCAGCCAAGACTACACAGAGAAACTGTCTCAAAAAAACAAAAAAAAAAAAAAAAAGAGGAATGTCATGCATGCAGGAATGCACAAATACAGAAAGCCAAGAATCCTTAATAATCATGATTGAATACATGCATCTCCTAATATTTTAACTGCTGTTGTAGTAAAGGAAGAAAAAGAGCATAGATTGGTGAAGTCAAATAAAATGAAAGGAAACAAAGTAGAAGTGAGATAGCAATACAATGGCGCTTCAAAGAGGAAGGCACTAACTTAGAGGTTAGATTATGAGATCATCCTCCAGTGTGGGAAGCAGCTGGAGCAAGCTGAATCCTGTGGAGAGTCCTTTAAGGAACCATGAACCTCTGAAGACCTGCACAGTGGGCAGGGGCATAGCACAGTGGTGGAGTGCTTGCTCAGCATGGGCAAGGCTGTTTCTTCAGCACTGCAAAAAAAGAAGGACTAGAGTAGGAGAGAAGAAGAACTGAGAAAAAGACAAGGTGGTATAGTCAGTTAGAGAGACCTAGAGGTGGGACAGAGGCAGGGATCCTGGTGTGGAGAAGGAAAAATATCAAAAAATGTCTTGCAAGTTTTAATAAGTGCAGTTAGACCCCCAAAAGTCCAGAACGTTTAGCCAAGGGGCAGGACTGGGTGGGGTGCTATAGCGGAGGGAAAGGGAGTATGCTAAGTGGGAAGACCTGTAGTACCTTTGAGGGACAGGATTGCAGAACCAGTGTCTGCTATCCTTCTCCCAAGCACTGGCACTCAGGGAGCTCCTGATACAGGTCCCTGCCTGATCCTCGGAATGCACCATTCAGTTGCCAGCTGTGGTAGACATGTCATACAACTCACTGAAGTCAACAGGACCTTCCAGGGTATCAGACCTTCTTAAGTATCGGAATGGAGAAACACGGTATACAGGCTTTAAAGCGATAGGTTGATTGGGGTTCAGTGTTGAACAGCTGTATAATAGGACTGCCTGTACAGTGGTGTCAGTAAGAGTAGCTCATCCAAAATGCAGGCTCAATTGCTCATTCCTGTGATCCAGCCTTACCTTCCAATAAAGTATGTGTTCTCTACTGTAAGAATGACTTTGGTAAATTGGCATTTCTTTATAAGAAGGTACCTGAATTATGTCATGTGAGATATGGGTTAATAAAAGAGAGACTAACTAGAAATATACACAGGTGAGCTCCCATTGGGAACAGCCATAAAGGCTGAGGACTGAATACTGTAGTTGGCTTGCACTTGTGGTTGACTTCCTGAGGTCCCTTTTGCCCTCTGAAGGTAGAGCCATGCACTGGGCATTTCTAGCTCTGATGGAGATTGACATGGTGTTCTCAGGTCTTATGTCCTAGACTCTCATCCTTAGATTCATAGAAATATTTAGATGGTAAGAAATAAATAAAGATTTTCTTTTGCCTTTGGCAATTTCAAGAGCTTATCTGGAGTTCTGCAGATTGTCTGAATTTTGAACATATGGTGGCAGTTATTTATGAGAGTGTTAAATGTAATTTGAATGAAAGTGATAATCTGTCATAAAGTGTATCATTAAATGTGATGAACTTTTAAAGAATTTTTTAAAAAGATTTGAGTCACTTCAGAGTACTTCTTTTCAAACAGTCCAAGATGGATCAAGACAAATCTGTCATATTTGAGGAACACGTGGACAAAATAAACAGGTACTTAACACAAGATACCGATCATACTGTCTTTTGGAAGGCTCTATTAAGTCAGATCTGCTCCCCTTGTCATTATATTGTTTGATAGTGCTCCATAGTTTGAGGTGGGTAGTTCCCTGCTTTCATTTTCATTTACCTTTGAAAGTAAGGTCTCACCTACTCTTCCAAGAGGAAATACTCATTGCTGTCCTCTCCCATGCTCACTCATTGATACAAAATACCTCTTTTAAAAGTTAGAAAGGTCAGAGGATAATGGAATTACCTTACTTTTTGTTTTCACAATGTCATCTTCCCAGAAGGGATTATTAAACTACTCAGCAAAAGGCTTTGTGTGTGATCTGAGAACCTAGCTAATTGGCCCAAGGAAAGAACAGGAGGAAGACGACTGGGAGATAGTACTGCTGTCTCTGTTTTGAAGCATCAGGTTTTTGTAGTTTAGACACGTATTCAAATGTAATTACCAGCAATGCATGAATGCAAATGAGAAGCCAAGATTAGGCTTTATTTCTCACTAGCAATGATAGATTATAAATGCTCCTACCCAGGGAAGTGCACTTCCTCCCTTGCAAAGCACATTGAAAGTAATCATGTTGACATGGGGCTTAGGGAAAGCCAGTGCCCAGGTTTATTGGTGTATTGGAAATGGAAATTACTTGTGCAGTGGTGAAATTGTGTTTCTTTTATATATATATAGATGTTTTTCAGCCAATACTGTGGAACAAATTATTGAAAACTTACGGCAGGATGGTTCACCATTTGCCATAGAACAACTGAAGGTAATGCACAAATCCTTTGTGGACATCTTGGGAAGGGGAGCGAGCCTGTCTGAGGGTTGTCAGTGTTCTATGATAGTGTCCTAAGAAAACTCTGAAAGCAGTTCTTCTAAACGTTGGCTATACCCAAATTTCATGTCTACCTGCTGGCTTTTGAGAACCAAGCGAAGCTGGTTTTATGTCCTTTGAGTATAACAGAGAAGGACTTTAGTGGCAGTATTGCATTTCTAAATGTCCCTTTGTCTTGTGGGAGACACACATAGAAATGTTTTTATTAGAAGGGTTGAGTCACTGAAGAATAGTCACCTGGTGATAATATATGACAGTGGTGATTTAGCCAATAAATAATGTTTAATATGTAAGATGGTCTTCTTTAAGCAATTTATAAAGAAGTGATACTGTTTAAGCTGGCATGCCTTCATTTTCTGTCACTGCTAGTTTCAAGTAGTAGTGTTCCTCAGAGTTAGCAGCACTTTGGACTCTCTACACATAACTGGTAAAAGTGGAAGGAAAACCATTTGCGGGGTAGTGTTGTATACACTGGGACTTGATACCCTTGGGCCTATCATGGGATTGACTGTGAAACTTGAAGTATTTCAGAATTCTAGGCAGAGGAAAGAAAAGGTATGCTTCTTCATACTTGAAATGTGTTTGAGCTTGTTTTTATCTGTGTAGATTAATCCACATTGTGCTGCACAGAAGTAGGTTGGATGTTCATTTTCATTTTGGCATGACATTCTGTTGCATGACATATCACATTGACTTTTTCTGCTGTTATGCATCTGGGATTACTTGCAGGTTTTTACTGTAAGAATTGATGATGTGGCCCTGAACATTTGTATATATGTCTTATGATAATAATACAGATTCATATATCTGTTGGGTATATACCCACAAGTAGTATTATAAAACCTACCTGCTTTGTGTACACACATATTCATTATTCTAAATACTCTTTCAATAAGGTTGTTTCTGATTGTATTTGAGCACTGGTTGGATCCACAATCTTAACAATATATGATATCATTTCTTTTTTTATTTTGGTCATTTAAGAGCACATAAAATAACATTGCATTGTGGTTTTAATTTGCATTTCCATGATAACTAATGACATCAAATGTCATTTGATATATTTATGGACCATATGGATAACTTTTCATGTGAAGTATCTTTTAAATATTCATCATATTATTGATTTGTAAAATTTATCTGTTTTGGATATAAGTCCTTCAGTTGGCATATGTTTTGAATACATCTTTCTCCTTTATCATTTGCCTTCTCTTTCTTTTCTGGATTCTACATGAAGAACAAAAAAGTTAATAGTAATCCCAGTTGCCTTTCCCCCTTTATTGTTTCTTCCTTAGGCCCTTTTAATAGACTTATTGGCTACCCTTGAAAACTTTCAGATAATAAAATATGTTGTATATGAAGGCATCAGGACCCTTGATATCTTTCAAAGAGAAAAGTCAATGTTACATTTTACATCTAGAGTGTTCTAGCTCCTGTGAGTTTGATGACCCCTAGCAGGACTCAAGACTCAGCATGTAGTGAAAACACGCAAAGAAAAACCAAAGGGAAGGCACATGGAGGTCTGGAGAAAACCAGACTTCCAGGTGGAATTTCACAATGTCTACCTATTCCCTCAGCACGTCAGTGAAACATGATTCACTGACATGACTCAGCAACAAGACTGTCAGTGGGGACTAGTCACTCCCCTAGCACAGCAGAATTCCAGTCTCCTTAAGGAAAGCTCACAGTGATTCTTCTGCACATATGATGTGCTTTTTCCTTTATTTAGTCCTAAATTCATTTCAGTAATGTTGCAGTTTTCTTTATAGAGACTTACATTTGTATATTTTTCATTGGCTTTATTACTAGATTGTGATGTTTTTGATGCCTTTGAAAATGGTATCATTTAAAAGTTAATTTTTTGTTTGTTGAGATATAGAAGTCAAATTGAACCAGAAAGCTGTATATATACCTTGTACCTTATATCCAGAACTTGGCTAAATTCATTATGGAAATATTTATAGTTTATAGATTACTTTGAATTTCTTGTGGATTTAATTTTATCTTCCCTTCTCTTTTTCTTCTATCTTCTTCATCTGCCTCCTTTCCATTTTCCTATTAACCCCATCCTACCATACCCTGCTGCCCATCTTCTTACATTGGCTTATACCACCAGCATCATTTGATGGAAATGATAAGAGCTACTTATATCGTCTTCCTATCCTGGGGAAAGCTTTTAAGAACACCAAAGTTGCTATTGCTGTTATATATCTTTTTTTTTAAGATTTTATTTATTTAATATGTATACAACATTCTGCTTCCATGTAGATCTACACACCAGAAGAGGGCACCAGATCTCATAATGGATGGTTGTGAGCCACCATGTGGTTGCTGGGAATTGAACTCAGGACCTCTGGAAGAGCAGTCAGTGCTCTTAACCTCTGAGCCATCTCTCCAGCCCGCTGTTATATATCTTAAGGACATTCTTTATCAGTCTTGCCTTGTTGCCTACAAGGATTTTTTTTTTTTTTTTTTTTTTTTTTTTTTTTTTTTTTTTTTTTTTTTTGG